GATCCTTTATAGCGTGAAGTCATTTATTCCGGATCTGTGGTTTTTGTTTCGTGGTTTGTGGTTTCGAAGTTGTAATTGCTATTCATTTTTGAATTTCATATTATTCCATGGTAACAAAATGTCTATTTGTATGTATAACAGGTGTACAGGCAACCATGCCATGCCCTGATGTTGATGTTGGCACCTCAGAACCACCGCTGTCATCAGCACCAATAAAGATGCCTCGCTTGGAGCTGAAGGAGGAAGAGGAGGACCAGGAGAGCCACTGGGTTCTGCAAATGATCGTGTAGATGCTGTCACAACTTTCACTCGCAGCAGATGTGACGTGAGTGACTTGACTTTAGTACAAATTTTACATTCATTTGGATTGCATTTAGGGCTCCACGATTAATCGAATGTGATTGTCATGCGCATCTTGTCAGTAAAGCCAATCTCCATCATGTGCTTTCAGATGGAGCAGCATTTACTACACAGAGCCGTAGTTCACTGTAGGGCTGGGCGATAAAATTCATGCTATATAAATTTCCTCGATAAACGATAACAAGAGTTCGATATAATGTTTATGCGGCAAAGGCTGAACGAAAGAGCGCTTCTCATTTAGACCGTTTATCCATTCGGCTCAAAGTTCAAACAGCTAGAGCAGATGCGTTACTCGCTGATGCATCTCGGTCACGTGACCACTAAATCGCGCTGTGAGATCCAGTGTGAAGCGCTTGAATTCAGCGGAGAACACAAATGACTCTGTTTACAGACAGATGATAAAGCGCTGACAAACAGGAGAAACGCAGTGCGCAACGATACAGTCAGATAACTTTCTAATCTACAAATCGCCATCATTTACCATAGATTTACTGTAGTACCACTAACTGCACCATGGTATTGTCAGAAATGTGGGTATTCGTGTCTAATTTTATTATATTATTAATGTAGACGTGTTAAATGTATTGAAGGAGTAATTGAATATAATTACAGTATTTTTTGTGATTAAGCTATAGCGTTTATGCGTTTATACTAAATGCATTTAGACTACTGTTTTTCATACAAATACATAGAAACCGTATTACATTTTTAACCATGGTATTTGTGGTTTTTACTGTGATTATCATGATCTAAATGTATGCTACTATGGAAGACCAGTGGTTAATAAAAAAAAAAAAACTCAAAAACAGTCAGAATAATTAAATTTCACCATATAAAAATGAGGTTGCTACAATTTTGTAACGATATTACGGATTTTGATTATGAACATAAATCTACATCTGCATCCTAACTCAAGCTACTATCAAATGTGTATTTCTAAGAGACAAATTTTTTTTATATTATTATTAATATTATGAGGCAACACAAACCTGTTTCTTGATTTGAAACACTATTACTCATTAGAACATGTAGAACTAAGACATTGTTTTCTTCTTATTTATTTATTTTGTTAAGGAAAAAAGTTTGAAAATCAAAAATGTGAAGTGTTTGTCATGTTCTGACCTTAAAGAATAGTTTAAAACCACAATTAACCATATGGTTTTTAGCAAAAATCTGCCTTTAAACTAGAAAGAAATAAAAATTTGACATTTATCGTGATAATTATCGATATTGACTGATATGGAAAAAATTATCGTGATAATTTTTTTGGCCCAGCCCTAGTTCACTGACAAGCTACACAAAACCGTGTTCATAATCGCAGACCAATTTAATCGCGCGATAATGAAATCGAAGATATGATGAGGCTTCTTACACAGAATAAGGCACGCAAAATAGTTCATAAGCAGTGATAAAGGCTATGTTGATTAGCATTGCATTATTATATACTTTATTATAATAAAAATTATAATAAGACGAACTCGGATAAATCATATATTGTCCTTGTCGTGTGTTTATTAGTCACGTTGAATTAATGACAGCAGTTAAATCTTCTGTTTATTCAGCAACCGCTATAGGGATTTCCTGGGTTTCTTCTGCAAGGTGTATTTGGAGTTTCAGCGTGAGAGCGCCCTCTGGCCTTCGGATGGAGATTTACTACTGATCACAGAACCGTGCTTCCGTGACAAGATGCGCATGACTTATCGCAGCTTTTGCCTAATCGCGATTGCGATTTAATTTCGAAAAATCGTGCAGCCCTAATTGCATTCCTCAAAAGATGTTGTGATGTGGAAGTTGGTCATTTTTTTTTATGAAATTTATTTTTCTAATAGAATGGAATCTTCCAAGATGGCTCATCAGACAGCAACGTATATTGTTTCTGAAAACTGCTTGCTGGAGCCCTTTGTTGGAGTGCCCTGTATGTCCGCGGGTTTCAGATGTGAGGACAAGAAGGGTTGGCACGTTCCTCTCTGTGGTGCCCACACCGAGTCCTGCAGAAAATGGTATAATCAACCGATTTTTGGAAGCACTCTTGAAGGGAAAGTACATCTTTCTGTTGCAGTGTATGCCACTGGTGCCTCTTTTTTTCAGACTTGAAAAGGTAGGGGATATAGGGGATGTGTTTACTATATCACTGTATAGTAAATAATTGAATATAGCAATTAATATCACTACACAGGATATGGAGATAAATGAACTTGCTTTCCCAGAAGCCATACTGAAACAAAGACTTGTTGGCTTGTTGCAGAAGCTCAGTTGTACTGACTTGAGGACTGACTCACCAGGTACTTAATACTGACCGACTATTTTATAGATATTACTGTCTGTGAAAGAAAGACATCGTAAAGTGGCGTATGGAATGTAAAAATCCCTGTAATGGCTGAGACAAACAAATCTCAGTTGTTGTTTTTTTTTGGAAGAATGTTATAATTTTTACATTGATATTCAATCAGTTGTGCTGTGCCTGCTGTTATACAGAATAAGTGTGTTTAAAAAGCTCTGGTGTTCAGTTCAGAAGTCTTTCAGACAATAAAACTTTGTACAAACAGTCTTGTGTGCTTTCAGTACTTGGTATGTTACATTATAAAAGACACGTAAGATGAACAGTGAGCCAGTCATATTACGGTGAAAACTGATGACTCAAATGCATTTAAAAATGACTTATGTCTCTATTCCCCTTAGATGTAAAGGCCCATAGTCTGTCCTGTAGATGTTCAATGCATTCTGTTGGGAGAATACATGTACACAAACAGGTTCCAGGGCCGGATGATCAACTGATGATCCAGCTGTTTGAAGCCTTGAAAATATGAAAAGGTAAGTGGAATAGCCAGAAGCACACCAAACAGTTGGGCTGCAGCCCATTGACGTCATATTCAGGATGTGCCAATAAGACTAAATGCAGAGCATTTCTTCATGAGCGCAGAGCTGGTTACATTTAGGTTCCTGGTTTTCACGTGAACACCCTGGGTTTATAGGGGGACTAAGCGCCCTAGATCATAACCCAGACCATTTTTATTTATATTCCCAAAGACAGATTCCCTTACACTCTTTACATTATAGATGTTACACACAACAAAGTACCACAGCATTAGCATGTAAATATTACGAATATGTGAGTTCCAGTATCATCGTGCTATATGCAATGTGGTATTACCATGTACTATGATACTGACAAGTATTTGTGAGGGTGTTAAAATCGTTTATTTTAAGTAATATTTAATATTAATAACCTTAATATTATCTTCAAAATCTTTCTTCATTATATGGTTGCAGCTTTTATATGTATATACATATACATATGGTGAATGTTTATAGGCCCCGTGAACAAGATGAATCATGAATGTGTTTTGCCTATTTTTCCAAAATAAAGACAACATTTTGTATATATGGTAAAAGTTAATGCATAACATTGACATTAGACAATTACAATAGTTAAGATGTACTAAGAATGAACAATACTTTTAAAGCATTTGTAAATCTTGGCTCATGTAAATTTCTACATGCAAATTTATTTCATGATTACTTAATTCAATATTTCAATAAGCATGAAGAACACACATGAACTAACATTGAACAAAAGTATATACATGAACATTAACCAAGATTTGTGGCCATTTTAATTTGTGTTGTGCAGAAGAAATTCATACAGATTTGTAATGACATGAGGATGAGTAAATGATGATTTTCATTTTTCATCCCTTTACACCTACATATCCTAACACTCGGCTATAGGCTGCCATCTATAAAATCAGCTGTGCCATTACAATATTTACTTACACTTTTGATATTTCAAGTAATTTAAAAATTACTTAAATATCAAAAGTAATTTAATTTAATACTTTTGCTTAATTATTTTTCTAATATAAAATCACCATAAAGATATCAGTAACACTTTGCAATAAAGCCCCATTAAGGTAATGTTAGTTAAGCACTAATTAAAATTTTGTCATGACAACTCTCGGAGGGATTGGCATGGTAATGTACATGACAATGTTAATGTATTTGGTCTTGGAGGAATAGAATGTGCCATGTGATAATGATTTCATTAGGCCAGATTGAGTTAGACCTATCGGACTGCGCCTTCTAGAGTTTCATGCGAGAACTCTGTATTTAACTAACAATGAGTGACACATTTGATACAGTGTTTATTAACTTTTATAATTAGTTAAAAAACAACTGTTCATTTTGAGTTCATGTTAGCTGAGGTCCACTGAATAATATTAACAGATACAACTTTTGATTTTAGTGAAGTAGTACATGCTGTAATTAACATTAACTAAGATTAGTAAGTGCATTAGACATATTTTTCATGTTAGTTCGTGTAAACTAATGAAGTTTACTAGTGTTAACAAATGGAAGCTTATTTTCTTTACTTTTACAGTACTTAAGTATGACTGATGGTAAATACACTTAAAAATGCAACTAATATCTAAAGACGCTAAAAGACAGCTCATGAGTAATCTAAAATGTAATCAAAAGTAGACAGATAAAGTTAACAAAAACATGTTGTATTGCTACAATGTGTCATGTCATTTTTAATTAGGAATGAATTGCAATTCATGATCTAGATGGATTTTCCCCCACAAATACATATCACAGCCTCATTCAGTATAATGTGCATAAACTACAATGGAAAACCAACTCTGGCTGATCTGTGCTCTAATGAGTCATGCATGTCTTTCTGTAGATCTCATATACAGGCCTATAAGGGACATTCACTCATGGGAACCAAGCTTTGAACAGCATTATCAGAAACACAATAACTGTGGTTACATACAGAAAGTTAAAGATCACATCAACTATTGTTGCCACTCTGGTCCAGCTCAGGTATTTCCTCTCTTGTTGGTTTTGATGTGTAGCAGCAGCCTGAAGCTCCACGAGGATCTGCTTCAGAAGATCAAGAGCATACAGCCGCTCTTCATGCCTGTCTGTTTCTGAGTCTGGAGGGCTCTTAGTGTCCTTCACAGCATCTGTGAGAAGAATTATATTTAACTTAAGATATTATACAAGATGTTTTACCAAGGACCGATTTCCCCCTCATTATCAGATGTTGAGTAAATATTTACCAGAAAGAGCAGATGAGCTTTCCATTGGTTTTACTGAAATCGTCCGATTTCCTTTAGCAATCAGAAAATTCACAAGAATGGTCTCCAGAACGCTGATGCCCATCAGAGTGAAGATGACAACACAATAAACCCCTAGGAAAGCCACCAGAAAATAATTTAAAATAATATTAATAATAAAATAGATGTATAGATGTACAGAGATGTATAAACAGAGATGTATAAAATTAATTAAAAATATATATTATCGATTTCATACAACAGAAAATTCTACATTTTTAAGCAAATGATGACACAATCAACTGTTGATTATTTCTCAGCCTTTTGTTTTATTTTGAAAGAGTACTAATACATTGAATGAGATAGTTGTTAGCACAAAATGTCAAATATTAAAAGAGGAGTGAGATGGTCCCTGCTGGGGTATAAGAAGCCCACCTGGATAAACATCTACAGAAATAATTTTTGATCGTTTTTATTGATAATTACATATATTTTTAAATGTGTCATTCATGTTTTAAAAGTGTCATTCATGTAAAACACTAAATTAACTATTCAAATTATTATTATTATTACTACTACTTAGTTGAATAATTGAATAACCGATAACAGACAAAGCAGAATCCAAGTAAAAGAGATTCATCTGAAAAGTTATGAAATTAACCTATGACTTAATTAATAGGCCCATATTTAATAGCCCATATTTTAAGTGAAGATATGTCATAATAGCAACACTACGAATGCAATTTTAATGATTTTACACAATAACCTATAGGTTTTAATGAAAGGCGAAGATGTCTGAAATGTACATCTAATTCATTGAGATATTAAATAATAAGTAATGCGTTTAAAAATAATAGTGACAGCATACCACTTGGGGTTTCTATGGCAATTCTGGGTGGCCCATCTTACCCCGAGGGTACTTTTACTCCACAAATCCAAAAACAAATAAACAGTGTCATAGATCACGATTTTCCAGATATGCAAAATTAGATCGATTAACCTCAAAACTGTTACGAATGACTAAATCTCACAAACGTTGATATTCAGATGAAATGACAAAAAAAATTAAAAATAGTGTAGCCATTTACAGAAAAGTGCTGAGATGAAATTTTGTGCCATCAATGGTCAAGAGAAAAAAAAAATCTTACTGTTCAAGATAATGAGTACAGCAGATAAACTCTCACCAATCAGGGGGATATCACTGGCAGTAGAGGGCAGCATGTCTTGGAGAAGCAGCAGTAACACAGAAATAGACAGAAGCAGAGTTACTTTAAAACCCAGCTTCTCTCCTCCAGCTGAATCCATGAATAAGGAGGCCAAATCCAGAATAAGGAAGTAAAATACTGGCATTAGGAAGTTAATGACATACAGTAGAGGTCTCCTCTTCACGGTGATCTGCAAGTAAGAACAGAAACCTCTATAAATACTTGGTCAGAGCAGCTTTTGACAGTGGTCACAATGTCTGATCCCAGTATCTCAGCTGTAAGGTTGTGCATCAAATGTGTAATTACAGAAAAGCTTGTTTTCTCTGTAAGTGGTTTTCATATTTAGCGAATAGCCATTGGATGAACACAAAATTACACTGAGACAACAACAACTACTCAGTGAAGGGAATTCTGAACTGAAAGCTACACTGTACAGTACTTTTTATGGAAATAATACACTTTAAATGAATCTACTTAGGTGTGAAATGAATGCAATGTTTTCTGACAATAAACTGCATGTTATTTGCCTTACACTTTCATGATATTATCCGAGACTTACAAGTGAAGTGCACAAATCACATTAATGGCAGGACTTTCATAACTATACATTAGGGCTGTGCAATATATCGAAATTATCGAAATATCGCAAATGTACATATCGCAATATGCATTTCGCTACGGCTTGCAATATTTGGGGCCATGAACAAAAGACAAAGAGAAAATCACTCACTGCTCTTACCTAAATAACTTTTGTAGCTTAAATAAGAACCAGTGCATATTGAATTCATAGAGTAAATACTAAGCAGTGTTGTATTTTTCCTTTTTATTATTCAGTTCCTAAACTCATGTTAAAATGATTACACTAATGTTAAAATGACATTTTTATGTAATATTAGAGTAAAACACTACCCTTCACTTTCAGAAGTTGTTGTAGGGGTGCTTTCTTATTAGAATCAGAATCAGAATGAGCTTTATTCACCACTTAAGTGTGCGCAAACACAAGGAATTCGTTGTGGTATAACCATATATATATGACACAAGATAGTTATAGAAGTTATAGAAGATACTGACTCGGCAACAGCTGAGTAAAACTGTTTCATCTGAGCATGTGGCACTTTAAGCATTATCGTATCGCATATCGTACATATCGCAATATGCATTTCGCTACGGCTTGCAATATTTGGGGCCATGAACAAAAGACAAAGAGAAAATCACTCACTGCTCTTACCTAAATAACTTTTGTAGCTTAAATAAGAACCAGTGCATATTGAATTCATAGAGTAAAGACTAAGCAGTGTTGTATTTTTCTTTTTTATTATTCAGTTCCTAAACTCATGTTAAAATGACATTTTTATGTAATGCTAGACATTTTTATGTAATATTAGAGTAAAACACTACCCTTCACTTTCAGAAGTTGTTGTAGGGGTGCTTTCTTCTCACAAAAAGTGAAACATGTATGCTAGTTATATTAGAATCAGAATCAGAATGAGCTTTATTCACCACTTAAGTGTGCGCAAACACAAGGAATTCGTTGTGGTATAACCATATATATATGACACAAGATAGTTATAGAAGTTCACAGAACTGACTCAGCAACAGCATGTGTCATCTGAGCATGTGGCATTTAAGCCTGAATACTTTCCGTACCCACTGTATATGACACAAGATAGTTATATAAGTTCACAGACCTGACTCAGCAACAGCTGAGTAAAACTGTTTCATCTGAGCATGTGGCACTTTAAGCATTATCGTATCGCATATCGAATATCGCATTATTTAATGAGTTATCGCACATCGCATTTTTCTTCAATATCGCACAGCCCTACTATACATGAAAGCTCCTGTCATCAAGTCAAATTCCTGGATGGATGTGATGTGGTGTGTTGTTATCTTTCTGCTCTGTACCTTATATATCAGCTGATCCTGTGGTTCTCCTAGAGTAGTGACATTGGCTTTAGACGTATTTATACTAAGGAGTTCCCACTCTCCTTGAGTCTGAAAGGCCTTCTTGGAGCTGAGGGTCAGGAATGAAGCGTCAGAGAACGGGCTGATTACGAGCTCCTTGCCTGAGATAGCATGAGACAAATGACCAATAGATATTACAATAACTTAATGTCAAAACTCCAGCAGGTGAAATAGGATCTTTAAAAGTCATGTTTGCCAACATCAGGGTTGTGCACCAATATTTAGTCCAAACTGAAGATGTTTTTGATCTTTTGAATATTCCTCTTCCTGTCACTCCAATTTAAATGCAAATACCACATCTTGTGGGTGTGACTAATTCAATTTCACTTTCATGAACTGAGAATTCTGCCCAACTCTGATCGACATTGTTTTCTGAGTTTCAAATGTACTTGAATGGATCGGAGACTGAAGGGTAAAAGTGCAGCTTTGGACGTCGAAGGGAAACTGGTGCAGGTTCAGCTTGCAGGCCGTGGTCACAGCAAAAGTGTTAGACGTCACAACAGCGCCTTGATTCTGCAACTGCACATACTGATTCTCCATTGTTGCGAACTCGGTCTTGATGCTAAATAGACAAAACAAAGCAAAAGTAAACTTTAAAGGGACAGTTTACCCAAAAAATTTAAATTCATAATTTACTCATCCTAATGTCACTCAAAACTCATAAGACTTGGATTCATTTTCGAAACAAATGAATATATTTCCATTGAAACCATAGAGATTTCTGTCCCTCCACTGAAAGTCTATTCCACCAAAATTTTTACGCTTCAAGTATCTACAAGTAACAATCCATAAAAGGTCAATATCACCATAGAGTGCCTTTCAACCCTCACAATACTCAAACATTTTGGTTTTAATTTCCCATTCGCTTTATGTCATGTCATAAATAGTAGACACTTAAGTACTATAGAAACATATTAGCTAAGCTCCCACATGTTTTTTTTAGATAATTATGGGCCATTATTCGAAGCATAAACCATAAGATATGTCCACCCTGTCATGGACATATATATATAACTGTTAAATACGTTTTCATTGCAAAATTAAGATGCAAATTATATTTTCTGAAAGGTATGATGTCCCTTTCCTAAAGAGGGTTATTTGTTTGCTTTCAAATTATAAATACATAAAAGATTTTATGTAAAACATGTGTTTTTAAAGAAACGCATACAATTGGCACATTTTTCTTATTTGGAGAAAACTGTGATATTTGGATGCAGTTTTTTGTTTGCATGTTATTGCCCCCACACCTAGCTATTGAACACACTGGATTATATAGATATGATTGAATTATTATTTAAAATATTATTGTAAAATTAAATATCAAGATGACAGGGTGGACCAGCACATGATGGGGTGGACATGTAAAGCAGAACACACAAAGCATGACAAAATATGACAATGAAACATTTATTCAACTTCAAATTTTATGATTTGACTATTTTCTACTCTCATTCAAATTTAATGAGCAGTGCATGGGACCTAGCAAAATAGCACGCATCCTCTTACACAAAACTAAAAAAAAAATCTTGAAAATGTATCTAAAGAGCCAAGTAATGCTTTTGTTATGAATATAAAAACCTAGCCTAATATAACACACCCTTTCATAGTCATTTTATGTTATCATGGCAAATGAGTTATTTATGTACAGGACATCAAAAGGCGCCCTACAGTGATATTGAACCAAAAAGCCATTTTCCGACCTTTCAGTGATGCTGATGTCTGGAGTCCAAACCATGTCCTTTTTAACAGAACATAAAGTGATTCCACAGAAGTCATCTGGGTTCCATACTGTGAACTCATTGACCCAACCCTGCAAAGTTATGAGGATTATGTTAACAGTGATTATAGTGGTCAACCGATTTGGTTGATCCTCCTTAGAATCATAAACTTTTTCACAAATAATATATACAAACGTATTCTTTTTACACTTTGTTTTTATTTTCAATAGGGTTCAATTTGACTTGTATAGTGACTTATATTATATAGTATATTAAATTAGACATTTCAGTGTGTTCCTTAATAAGTCAAGAAATTATTTTATTTCCAGATAAAACTTCTGATTGTACAAGTTTTCGAACTTGAGTAAAGTCGTGTGCGAAAAGGTATTGAAAACACTTACATGCAAAATTGTGACTTGTGTTGAGAGGCTCTGGGCTTTTTCATTCTGTGGAAAGAAATATGATATAAGTGTTGAGTGATGATACTACAGTACAACTGCTTGCCATCCTATGTCATGGCATTCAGTTAAATCATGCTGGATTTACCACTTCTGTGATGGAGGTCACAAAGAGGTCTAGAAAAAGAAAAGTAGGGGTTTCCCATTTAAACACGGGCCGCAGGGACGTCATCTGAATGTCATCATTGCCCAAGCCGAGATGTTCGAGAAGTGCCTTGTAACTGCAGTTTCCAGCAGCAGACGCCGACCCTGCACAGAACACACTCCATTTGAATCTCACAGTTACAGCCAAGAGAACATCACGTTTCAACATTCATTCTTCTGTAAATGTACTTCTCAACTAGTGCGTCCGTTCTGATAAGAACAATGCCAAAAGCAAACTCCAAAATGCAACTATCCATATAACTGTTTGTAGTTACCCTTATGAAAAAGTAGTAAACTTTAGCATACTTCTAAAAAGAGTAATGTAATTAACTGCGAGATGAATGTAAATGTTTTTGCACACTTAGAAATGCATGTTAATTCAAATTAAATGAAATTTATATTAAATGTAGTTAGCTGAATTTTATAGTGTTTTTGACCCACTTAAGTAGGACTTAAGTACATCTTTATTACATTAAAATTAGAATTACATCTATTGTCAGTAACACTTTATTTTAAGGTGTCCTTGTTACATGTACTTACTATTATAATAACAATAAATTATGCATAATTACATGCAAGTAAACCTAAACCTAATCCTAACCATAACCATATAGTAAATACATTTAATTAATATAACTCGATGTATATTTACACTGTAACACTTAAAATAAAGTGTAACCTCTATTGTCTTTGAAATATAGTTAAAGTGAACTGCTGAATGTACTGACAAGCATTTATCATAAACTAAAATATGTTTATTAATTAATATTTATTAATGTACATATCTATTGAAACTTGTATGTCATGTATTTAAACATATAATTACACATTTATAATGATGAATTTGCAATTTAGCACATTTAAAATATATTAACTTTAAATGTTTTATTTAGTAACACAACAGTTAAATTATTTTAACTGTTGTGTTAAATGACAAATATTTTTACATGTGCTTTAGTATGTTAGTCAACACATCAAAATAAGTGTACAGTAAAGCATGACAAAAGATTATTAAAACATAATGATTTAATGACTTAAAAGTAAAACTTTTAATTTGACAAAAAATTTAGAAGGTTTACGTTTTTAAAAGTGTAATTAAGTATGTGAAAAGTGCACTTGAGTGCCCTTTTATTTCATTGTATTGTCTGAAAGCAGATTTTTTATTTTATTTTTTAAATATACTCTTAAGAGTGGAAGTACACAAGTGCAAATGCACATTAAATACAATTAAGCACTTCTTTCACAAGCATAGATAGTAAAAAATATACATATCAAATTTTAAATACAGTATTTTGGTGCAAATTCATCTGTCGCTATGTAGAAGATAGAAGTCAAATTTTTCAGTGTGGAAAACTTGCGTGACTTGCTTCAAAACTAGGAGCACAACTACACAAGGTAAGGGAAAATATGACACAAACAACACACATCAACAGACATTACAGCTGGAAATTTAAAACAGACTTACCGACTGAGGCAAGATAAAATATTAGCCACCCTAGATGCATAGCAAACAGTCAAAAGATTGGGTACTGAAGAGATGACTGTCATTTGGTCACATTTATATATACTGTGAATGAGATCCATGTCCAACCTCCTCTTTTGTTCTTAGTTTTACCACGAGTGAAAAAACTATACAAACAGCTGATGTCATTCCTATATGTCATTAACATACACACTTTGTCTGTCTGCTGTGCTGTTTGCCATTTTGTTTGTGTCTTTCTCATGGCTGATAGAAAAGTTAGTGTTAGTGGTTAGTGAAATGGCTATGTAACTTTTTCTGTGTTCTAAATTTGCAAAATGTATATAATGAGCGAGTACATCATTAATTCATCTTCCAAATCGAGTTTTGGTCTTATTCCGAATCACTACGGTACACTTATAATAAGTACTAATATTTGGACTATTGTAGCCTGGTCGGGTCGTCGCCGCTGCGGAGTAACACATACCTGCGTGAATCGCCATAGACATAAACTTAGAGAAGTAGCGCCGGTTGGAATGTTCTTCCGCGGGATGTGTGCAGTTCTGTTTATTAACCGCTAGAGCGCCAAAAGTTACATAGTGCTGCTTTAATCAGATTGTGCTGGTTGCATAACTTTATGGAGTTATGTTGTCAGATTATTCATTAATAAATGCATATAACATGACCACAATTTCTGTAATTAGTCAGTAACACTATAAAGCTGTATCATTAGCCTGATACATTCATTCCCAAGGCCTCAAAATGATCGACATGATCAAAATTGTGCTGTTTTCTATTACATGTAGGCTACTGTATGTCATGGTTCACGTGCCTTTTTGCTGTGTAATCTTTAATAAACAAAAAAATAACTTTTACATTTTTAGTTATAGTTGATATGAGATGGACTGAAGCAACTTAGCTTTACTTTAAAAATCATGTTAAAGTTAAACAACAGATTTTTTTTTGGAACAAGATGTCAGTAAGCCCTTTTGTTTAGAACAAATATCTCTTAAAAGTCACCCACAACATTAAGTGTTTGTAATAACATTCACTTCTATTCTAAATGCCTCACCATAACCTCGACTTTTGCTTCTCTAATCTCCTAATAATATTAAGGAATATTTAATAATACCATTAACACGAATGGAAATCTCGGTTGTCACACCTGTAAAAAAAAAAGTGTTATTATTATTGTTAACTAAAATAAAATAAAAAAACATTTTCACTACTTGACATAAAAATAATAATTATTAAATAATGATTTTATTTCAACAAGTTGCCAAGGCAAAATTTCTCATTTTAATTTAGTTTAAGTTGATCTACTAAAATAACTAAAACTACATAAAATAAAACAAAAAACTATAACTATATAGATATATTTTAATAATAATAATAATGAAAATCTCATTCAAAATCGTAACAAAAATATAAATACTACTATAAAAATGTTTTTGTTATTATTGCCTTAAGAAACAAAATACAAATGATTTTTATTTTGTATTTTCTGTCTACATAGAAAACTAAAACGTATTTTAAAATCTAAACATCATGTGTCTTGTGAATCACTGACACGTGCTCATATATGCTCAATTTATTGTTCATTGAGTGTGTTCACCTGCAAACGGAGTATTATGAGTGTAAAGGTAACTCATCTTCTCATGTCTGATTTCTCTGAAAAACTGCAGATCATTACAATGAAAGATCAGTGTAAATAGGCTATGTAGTCTTCTTCTACCATAATTCATAGGCAGCTGTGTGCATGCATCAAGATCAATGTACACAACAGTAATTTAAATATCATATATCGCCAAATCAACACTGAACAGCAGTTGATGTAGGGGCTAATGCTTTATTGACTCAGTCTAGCTTTCCAAAAGCATATATTTTAGAGCAAACAGCGCAAATAGGCAGGGTGCAAGTGTCCCAGACAGATGATTGCATTGCACTGGAGCTTTAGGACTAAACGAATTAAAAACTCTTCACCACCGTTACCGCACCTCAAGACATAATCTTAGAGGTAGTAACGAGGCTTGAGCCAATGATAACGCAGATATGAGAGAGAGAGCAATTTACCTGAGTCTGTTCTCTCTTTTCGGCAGCAGCCCCTCTACTAATAGCAAAACTGCATCAAGAACAGCACCGTTATTACCTCTATAGCAACAAATGTAATTTCGTGGGAAAATGTAAAATAGTTGATCATTTTTATCCTAATATTTCTTATTTTTATTGGATGGTCATTGTCCTTGTGCGTTTTGGTTCTTTTGCTGTTGTAGTATGGGATGATTTTAGACGCAATGCCGCACATTAATGTAATTCACAATTCTGCAGACACCGGTTGAAAGGCATTTGTTTCAGTGTAGTAACGCAAATTCGCGAATTTTTCAAATCGTGTACACCTTAATGAATTGCAATAGGCCTTGTTCGTTGGTAGTTGTGTGTGTGAGAGCGTAGTGAAATGCTGCAAACTGCGAAAATGAAGTCTCAAAATCCAAACGAACCGAACAAGATCGACTCGAACAAGACGTCGATAAATGCACGCTTGTGACCTGACCCACAAATGCACAGATTCCTTTTTGCATGAGCAAGTTATGACGTATTAATGCAGAACAGAACATTTTCATTCACAAACATGTCTGTATTTGTACAAATCGCTGCACAATCATTTAATCCCCAATTCCACAGACTCAAATTGAAAGGCATTTGTTTGTGGTTAGTAAGATACATGCATTAAATTGATGTAGTGCATGGATAATTGTGCGTGCAGCTATTAATCATTTTGAGTCTAAAATCATCCCATACCTGTAGGCTGTAAGGACCTTTGAAATAACTGAAATCATCTGGCGAAGTGATATGGACATAATGCGGTCAAGAGCTGCCTGGAACTTCTTTAGTTGTGCGTGTTCATCAGTCAGATTCAAGTTGGTATAAAAGTAATTAATTCAGTTACATTTTTAATTGATTGACAGTTCTCAGAAACCAATAGAAACCTAACAGGGAACGTATGCAGAAATGTAGTTTGTGGGTTCACAAACATGATGGCACCAAGATTGCTGATAAACACCCCAAACCAGATGAAATGGATTGTTTTATTGAGTTATTACTTTCATCCAACACCAAACCTTGACCATTTGAAATGTTCGTCTAAGCTCTAGCTTTCCCATTCTCCACAGAATATTGTGACAGCACTGAACTGCAATGAATAACCATCATAAATCTTGGTAAACCAAGGTTGACATATAGTACTTCCAATATGGAGTACAGAAATAGAGCCAGAAACAAAACTCAAACCAAGATACCCTGAAAGCTTGTTAACTAGCTCAACAAAACATTCGTCTAACCAGTAGAGAAGATCATATAAAATTAGCTGATCAAAGCAGGCTTTGAAGTTGCTGTTTTTTTTTTTTTCTGTGTCCAAACAATAGACATTTTATGGTGTTAGTAGTTTTGGCATAACTTACACATGACACAGTCTTAAAGGTTTTGTATTAAAAGCAACTTAAAGGAATAGTTCACCTAAAAATGAACATCCAGTCATCATTTTCTCACCCTCATGTTATTCCAAAACTCTATGACTTTCTTTTTTTTTTTCAGTGGAAAAAAGATTTTTGAATAATGTTGGTAATCTTTGAAGAATGTTGGTAACCAAATCGCTTCGGTTCCCATTCACCTCCACTGTATGAATAAAAATACAAGTCAATGGGAACAGAAAATATTTGGTTGCCAACATTCTTGGAACAACGCGAGGCTGAGTAAATGATGACCGAACTTTCATTTTTGGCTGAACTATCTCATTAATACCCTGAGATCCACGCATTTTATCAGCACAGTTTTAGAAATCCTCCTTTAATACACATCAGTCGGCAGTTTGAAATCCTTGAAGCAATAAAAGGAGATGTCCCCATGATCCACCACTGCAAAAGTGACTGGGACGTCTCCGCTTTGGAAGGACAGCTGCTTCATGGCATTCAGATCAGGCACTGGACCGTCAAAACTGTCAATGTACAAAGACAGAAATAAGTTGGATTGATCAGATCAGGACTTTTACAGACATTACGGATTTCTTGTCACTTGATACAGATCCCGAGCATGTACGATTTTATCAGGAGCCAGATATACATTTCTATTTACATGCCATAGAAAATGTAAAAAAAAAAAATTAAAGTGCATCACTTAATCAGACAGCTGCAAAAACATAACTGATCTTCCAGTATGATCCAGCCACTGTATAACTAAGGCAAAATGACAAAACCAACACAGCAGGTAATAAGTCAGCAGACTCATTTCAGTGTATTGAGGCAGTGTGTTTACCTGCAGACACACATGCGGGTGTAAGGCTTTCCAGGGAGGCTCTTTTTAAACTCTGCCACCGTGTCCGGTTGGTAAACATCAAAACTAATCTTCCACTGGTCTGACGGGGACAAGCTGAGAAAACAGATTGTTTAAAAAAGCAGTTCAGTCATCTCAAACCCTTATTTGACTTCAATTTTGAGACAAAGGGCAAAGCTACCAGGTTACTCTGCTTCAGTACATGACTTATTATGAGGTTGCACAAAAGCTCATTTAGCAAAGGATAGTACAGGATAGTAAAGGTGGGCTATACTCACCTGGAAACCCCCTCAGACCAGCTTGAAGACTTGATAATGCTGATCTGGTCCAGCAGTTCACCTGCACCAGAACAGGACAAAAATATGAATGTCACATGGAAGACAAAAATGCCATTTTCCATGAACAGTTCAAAAGGTGCCCAATTAACTTAAGCACAAAAACTATGTCCTTCCAAGATACTTTTTTTTTTTTTTAAGAATACAAACCTATTTTAATTATTAAAAATTGTTAACGCATATCCTTTTATTTACATATTATAAAATAATCAAATTGAAAATAACCTTTTAAATACAACTAACAATAAAAAAAGTTGTTAACGTTACTTAATGAGCATTAATTAGGTATCATGTACTTACAATGAACCATTAATATTAATCTTAATTTCTATTCTAATCTAAATACATTTTTAACATTTAAATTGCATAAACTATTACTCAATATACTGTAAACAAACATGAATTAATTCTATTATTATTATACAGTATTATTATTATTGATATTATATTTATTTATTTAGTATTTTTGTTACCATTGCTGTTATTGTTAGCTAAAACTACAACTATTAAAATTAGTCTAAATAAAATAAATGTAAAAAAATAAATAAATACTCTTAAACTAAAATTAGAAATGCTTTTAAATTTGACTTAAAGGGATAGTTCACCCAAAAATGAAAATTCTGTCATTAATTACTCACCCTCGTGTCGTTCTAAACCTGTAAGACCTTCGTTCATCTTCGGAACACAAATTAAGATATTTTTGATGGAATCTGAGAGCTCTCTGACCCTCCCATAGACAGCAAGGTAACTACCACGATCAAGACCCAG